CAATATCAAGGATTCCATTGGTGGAATCAGATTTGTACTACAATTAGAAGTTACACAGAGTTACTTAATAAAAATTTGAAAATACTAATATATATACCGCTAATATAACAGTATATTTACTTATTGTTTTCTAAACGCACATAGTTAGATATTTGGTTTTTCTGCAAGTGCTATTACATATACAGTCATCCCTCTCTATAGTCACCTCCTCTATAGTCACAACCTCAATATAATCACGGTTTTTTTTTTACCAACCTTTTTTATATTATTTATACCTCTGTATTATAGGCACAATTGCCTTATAGTCACTATCACGTTTTTTCGTTAACCAATCATATAACATATATATAAAATTACCCTCTATAAAAGCACACTATAAATAAAATAAATCAGGTGAACTTTATTCTATTTTACCTTTTATTCTATTTTTTAGTGTAATGGGTTCAAATACTTTTTTAAATTTTGTAGATTAGCCAGATCTAGGATTTGAATGTATGTATGCATGCACGTAATAGTTAGAAGTACTATAACTGAAAACTTACTGTCAGCTTTATAGATTGATTAGCTCTTGTGTATGTATGTTGAAAAGGGGTAACTTAATAGTTTTAAAGCTAAATCTAGCTAAATCTACACACTACAACTTCTAATCTTCTGTTCGAAGACCCTAAAGACTTCGATTTGGCAGGCAAAAAGAGGCGCGGAGAGACTTGGTCCGAGTCTCTAAGTCTTGTTGAGTCTTGCTGCGGCGTATTTGGAGGCTAAGATAAGTATACCTTGGTCTTGTGCTTATAGCAGTATTTGATAAACTTCTAGAGGAAGCTAAAAGTGGTTTCTTGGCTTGAATTTTTAGTGTGCCGGGCTGTAGTATTCTACTTCGATCATTAAGATCCTTAACGATCGTCACATGGATCACATAGTTACGAAGTATAGTCGTAATTTCAATTTATAGCTGATTTGAGGTAACAATAATGTTTGATCAAAGCTTGATTAATTATATTTTATTATAAAAAGAGTTTTTGGGTTTTTAATCAACTCTCTTTCTCTCTCTAACTTAAGTATAGAGAAAATCACAGAAACAAGAGAACATGAATTCAGCTTGTGTTGATATCATTTTTAGGGAACTTAGAGACACTTCTACTTAAATTTTGAAGGTCAAGACTCTTAACAATTTATCAATTATAACTAGATTAGTGTATATTTCTATTTGACCATTTTTTATGAGGAACAAGATAAGTATAAAGCTACTGAAGCACTTCTACTGTTATTTATTTCGAAGTATTACTCAACTCAGTTCTCCCTTCTTTTCAGAGCAAGAGTGGCTTTGCTTTTTATATATTTTTACAGGTTTAAAATATACAACTTTCTCTTGAATTTATTCGCTAAGGCGAATAAATTCACTATATCTACTAAGGTAATTAAGGTGGATTAAGCAGATAAATTCGCTAAAGCGAATTTATCTGACTTATCGATTTGATCCAGGAGAAGGAGCCACCGGATAACTAAGTATAATACTCTCACACTTATATACCCGGGTATAAATCAAAATTGGATATCCAAAATCACCACAGAAATATAGTAAAGTTTGATTAAGAAAACTATATCTAATAAGAATTTCTTGAAAAATTAGAATAAAAACCCCTATATAGTCACTTTTTATATTTTGTAATATAATTGTGACTATATAGAGATAACCTTTATATTAGTCACACCTCTTTATAATCACAGTTTTTTGTATCCCGAAGGTGTGATTATAGAGGGGGATGACTGTACTATTAAAACATAGTGCTGGACATGGACATAGACACTATGTTTTAATAATATGTGTGATAGCACTTGCAGAACCAGTCATCTAAAAAATTATTTGTGTATTTATTAATAATAAAGTTTAATTACTATAGTAACATGTTTATAAACAAATAATAATAATAATAATACATTATAAATAGACAGACTTAACTTAATTTATACTTCAATAAGTCCAATTCTTCTTAAAACTACACTTAAATAAATCAAATCAACCTTAAATCAGTCTTAAAATAAATTTATACTTAAAAGTAAATCAGCATATCTTTATCTAGTGATCGATATAAACGAAACCAAGCCATTAAAAGTGCTTTTAAAGAGTTTGAGAATTCTTCAACTGATTCTAAAAAAAAAATAGCAAAAAATTTAGCATTCCTAAAGCAACCCTGAAATATACTATAAAAAATCAGGGTTCTTTAGATCATCTAGATCCTGCCAATGTTTTAACCAACTATGAAAAATAACAACTACAGTAGTTAGTTATTGTCTAACCATGCAAAAACTTGGCTTTGGACTAACAAGATCAGATGTAAATCATTGTGTTATAGAAATTGTCAATAAAAGTAAAAGGCAACATTCTTTTAATAAGAGTAGACCGGGCAAGTCATAGTGGGCGTGTTTTATGAAAGACTATTCTAAGCTTTCATTTCATGCTCCTCAGGCCTTGAATAAGGCATGAGTACAAAAAGCCAATCCTATTATAGTGCAAGATCATTTTAGAAAGCTTAAAGAAATTATCAAAGAATATTTATTTACCACTAATAGAATCTGGAACATGGATAAAACACACTTTGTTCTTAATTCTAATCTTAGTAAAGTTATTGTAAAAAAGAGTACATGGCAGGTAATAATAAATTTTGTTAGCAGTATTTGAAATAAATAAAAATAAAATAAAATAAATAAAAATAATAATGAAAATATTAATTTTCTTCTGATTACTATTCTAATAACAAGTTCACCAAGTTTCTCATAGAAATTCTAATAAGCATATTTCCATGTATCTAACCATCTTTGCTGGTGAAACATACATCTCATTACTCATTATTTACAAAGAAAAGCATATGATTCCAGGCCTTTTGGATAGTACTCTTTCTAGTTCTGTTATAGGATTTATGGAAACAGGATACATGCGAGAGTCCCTTTTTTAGAAATATATTGGGCATTTCATTTGCTTAATTCCACTTGCTCGTCCTGTTCTTCTGATTCTTGACAGACATAAAAGTCATATTAGCTATACCAATGTTAACATTTGTTACAATAATAATATCCTTCTATACATGCTTCCACCCTACACCACCCATATACTTCAACCAGCTGAACTTCCCTTTGCACAGCTTAAAGAAGTATATAACAAAGGATGTAAGCAACTTTATATTAGTAATAATGGAGAATTCGTAACTAAGTACACATTTACCAAGATTTTTGGTTTAGCATACATTAAAACTTACATATTTTTGACAATTTGCAATGCTTTCAAGGCAACTGGGATATGGCCCTTTAATCCCAGCACAATTAGCCCTGACCATCTTGACACTTCGTTAGTTACTAAGCAGCCTAACATCTTTCTGACACAATCAATTCCATCATCTTGCACAACTATAGTATCATCAACTTCACAATCTACTTCTCTAAAAACAAATTTAAATAATGTATATTCCTGTAATACATCAAGATCCGAAGTCAAAAATCTCAATGCAAGAGTCAAAGAATTAGAGACTAAGTTGAAAATGACAAAAGAGGAATTAAAGACTTTAAAAAACCTAGTATATTACCTTTATGAATGATCCTTTAGTACCCTTTACCTCGTTCAAATTTGGTCGAAGAAGATTCAGAAATCAGTGCCAAAAACCAACCCGAGTCCCAATTACCAAAAAGGAAAAAGCAAAAGGCAATGCCTTTTTCTCAGCTCCTTACCAATGAAGCATTGTTAAAATCATTAAGAGACACAGAAGAAGCCACTAAAAAAAAAGCCAATGAGATAAAATGTAAAAAAAAAACTACAGCTCAAAAACAACTAGAACAGGAAACTAAAAAGGCACAAAGGGAAGAAGCAAAAAAAAAAAGTTAACAAAAAAAAAGATTAGATTAATCAAAAGTAAAATCAAAATTTACTTATCTTAGATCTGTGTATCATTTTTAGTCCACTACCCAAAGATCACTAATTTTCTTAAAAACTTTCTTATATTATAAAACTTTTTTTTCTATATAAAAAAAATTTTTTTAAAAGAATATAAACATTTTATTTGAAACCTCTAGATTCGAAATATATTAAAAGTTTGTTAATTATAAATTGACTTTATAAAATAATC